TCAACTTTATACTCAGCTGAAATAATGGGAGACATTTCTATCAAGAGCAGAAACAAAATAATGATGTTCACTATGAGATGTTAATTTTAACACTGTAGAGGCATCTTTTAGGCAAACAGGCTTGAGCGATGAAATGTAGAAAGGGCCCACAGCAATCCCCTGGCTGAATACAGACAGGCGCATCTGGTGACTCACCTAAAGACATCCATAGGCCCTAACTAACCAATGGGCTACTTACAACTGGGCACAGTTACCAAAAAAGGGAAAATGTCATTTGTCACCTACCTCATCACCTTCCCCCTTTGAAAATTTCAAGCCCCCACCCACTGCCTCATGGCTGACAGTCTCTCCTCTGCTGTCCTGCCCGTCCCTCCCTTGTGGTGTATTCAGTAAATTTCTGTCTCCTTTGTTGTGCCTCAGGTGAATTCTTTCCACCGCCCACGCCACTGGCTCTCACGCCTTCATCGCCCCACATTTGGGGACCCTCTTCTGATCGGGATGGACACCTCATTTAGACACCACAAACATGACTCTCGGAGCTCTGACCAAGGCAATAATATGTAAAACAGAAATAAGAGCTATACCAACTGGAAAGGAAGACACCAGTTTATCACCATATGAAGGGTTACCTGGAAACCCTAAGAAAATCAATTTTAAAAAACTGGCCACAAATTATGCAGGGAAGGTCATCACAAAATATCTAGTTATCAATTTCGTAATAGAACTGGAGCATCCCAACATAATAATTGTTAAAACTTAAAATAAACAGGAATGAGCTTAACATAAATCTAAGAAATTCCGTGAAAAATTCCCAAACATCGTTGAGATAACGATAACATCGTTGAGAAGGACATACCATTTTCCTAGATGACGATACCTCTATGGTATATAGATGTCAATTCTTTCCCAATTAATTTAAAGGTCAAACAAAATTCCAATTAAAGTCCCAATGGGATTTGGTTTTGAATTTTTCAAAAAGATTTTTAAAGAACATCTAACATAATAACAGGGAAAAGATGAAAAAACTAGAGGGAAAAATTTTTTAAGCTAATAAAAAACAGAAGAGTAATGATGTATTAACCCTTTCAGCTTTAAAGCATCATAAAAGTATAACAATTAGAACACTGTGATACTGATGCAAGTGTAGACACACTCACCACCAAAAATAAATAACTAACCCGGAAACTTTCTAGTATAAGATCCATAATGAAGGGCCAGTCAATGAGGAAGGAAGCATTTATTGAAGAATCTGACAAATTATCTCATTATTTTGAAATAATAACAAGACTTGTTGCCACTTATTGAATACTTACAGCATGCTAGATACTCTGATGCATATTTCAGATACATTTCTGACTTTACCATCAAAAAACTTCATCAAATAGATATTACTAGTCTCATTTTATAGTCAATGAAACTGGGGTACAGGATGGTTATCAGACTAAGTTATACCTTTGGTTAACAGTCAAGCAAAATTTCAAATCCAGGTTGGCCTGACTCCAATGCAAAGCCAAATAAATTTCATATGAATGGAAGAGTTTTATTTCTTTTAAAATGATAGAGGCATTTGCATTTCCAGGAAAATGGAGTAGACACATTTTTCCCTATTCCCCTGCTAAGTATAACCATAAACCCTGGACATTATTCATATACACATATATTTATATATATGTAATTCTTTTAGAGACTGGAAGTTACAGAGAAGACAAACCAGCTAGTTACCTTGAGACACAAGGAACAACACAGTGGTGAATTCCCTGAGTTTTCTTTTTGCCTTATATATCCCAGCCTTGATACTGGACAGACTTACAACACAGAAATGTCAATAGATGCAGACCAAAAAAAAAAAAAAAAAAAAGCCTGCATTCTCTACCCAAAGAACTAGGAAAGGAACAACCGAGCAGGACAGAAAACTTTTAGAGGATTACAGATCTACTCCAGGCAAATACTCCAGAAAAAAACTGCAGCTCCAGCCCCACCCCCATCAGTAAAAAAACCTAGTGGAGAGTCCAGACCTCCACCCCCACTAGACTATAAGGAAGCACCTCAATTCCTATGGCAGGTAGTGTCAGAGGAAGCCCAGTGGAGGGTCAAAGTTTTCACCACCACTTGAGCAGAATGTTGGTAGAAAATCTGGATGTTAAAGTTGCTGCTGGTGAGGACTAAGAAGGAAATGAGGAAAATGTTACAGGAAACCGGGGAAAGGATGATCTTTGTTACAGGGTAGCAGGAAACTTAGCTGAGTGGTGTCCAACAGTTGTGTGGCAAGTAGAACTTGTAAGTGATATTACAAGAACTTTTAAGTGATAACAGAACTTGGACATTTAGCTGAGATTTCCAAACAAAATATTGAAGGTGTAGCCTGGTTTCTTCTTTTGTTTACAGTAAAATGTAAGAGGAGAAAACTGCTAAGCCAAAAGGAATCAGCACTTGATGATTTGGGAAATTCTCAGCCTATCCGGATTGCAAAGGATGTTAAAATTAGATTTGCTGTGAGGAAGGCATGTTCTGGAGAGAAGGCGAAAGGTGTGGCCGGACAGCATTTTGCTAGTGCTAGTTACTTAAGAGGTTGGGTGTGTAACTCATGGATCCCCTCAACTATCTCAGCAGAAGCCAGGATAGAGATGGAATGACCCAGGAAATATCTGTGGATAACCTTCTTGTCTAATGGTGCGAATCCCTGTGACGTGCCCACGAGACTCACAAACTTTTTGAGAATGTGACTGCAGCAGAAACACTACCAGGTTGGACTGAATGCGGTAAAGACAGGACAAAATGAAAGAAGGCCACTGGACTCTCAAAACTCTACTACTTAGCTGCAAAATGTACTATCCTTCAAGAAACAATGAAGAACAACTTCAAAGACAGACCCCTAAGTCCAGAGGGCGGAGCTTTGGGCCCAGACATCAGACCTACAAGTATAGAGAGACAAGAGCCACAGACCCAGGGGACAATGCCTCAAACCACTGAGGATTATTCCCAGCCCTTAAAGCTTAATGAAATTTGTGCTGGTAGATTTTGAAATTCCTTGGGACCCGTGACCTCTTTCTTCCTTCCATCTTTCATCTTGGAATGGGACTATCTATAACGGTTGTACTGACCCTCCATTGTATTTGGGGATTAGACAATTTGTTCTGTACTTATACAGGTCCACAGATGGAGAAGAATTTTGCTCCAGGATGAATCATATCCAGAGTCTCATCCATACATGATTTAGATTATTTAGATACTGAGATTTGGGTCTTTTGAGCTGATGATATTTATATGAGATTTTTTATTTCAAGTTAATGCTATAATAGCTTGAGGCTTTAAGGAATGTTGGTATAGGGTGAATGTATTTTGCACATGGGATGGATACGAACCTTTAACGGGTAGAGGGCAGACTGTAACGGGTTGAATGGTGGCTCCCAAAGATCTTATAAATATTAATCCCCAGAACTTATAAATGTTACCTTATATAAAACAAAGACTTTGCAAATGGGATTAAGTTAAGAATCCTGAGATGGGGAGATTATCCTAGATTATCTGGATGGGCCTAAATGCAATCACGTGTATCCTTATAAAAGGGAGGCAAAGAGAGATTTAATAAGACACACAGAAAAGAAGGTGATGTGATGATGGAACAGAGAGAGATCTGAAGATGCTGGCTTTAGAGATTGGAGTTATATGGCCACAAGCCAAGGAATACCTACAGCCACCAGAAAAGAGAAGATTCTCCCCTAGGGCATCCAGAGAGAGCACAGCCTTGCCAACATCTTGATTGCAGCTCACCGAAACTGATCTCACACTTCTGGCCTTCCGAACTGTGGGAGAATAGATTTCTGGTGTTCTAAGCAAACAAGTTTGTGATAATTTTTCACAAATTTCCCAAGAAACTGATAAATGCAGTGAGAATGTCTGTTCTCAGTACTCTTATTCAACATAGTGCTGGAAATCCAAACCAGCACAATAAGGCAAGAAAACTTAATAAAAGGCATACAGATTGGAAAGGAAGAAATAAAGCTCCCTATTTGCAGATGACATGATAATCTACATAGAAAATAATAAGGAATCTACAAAAAATCTCTTAGAATAAGTCAGTTCAACAAGGTCACAGGATACATGATCAACATACCAAACTCAACTGTATTTCCATATATTAGCAATGAACACATAGACACAAAATTTAAAACACAACACCATTTACAATTGACAAAAAAAGTAAATAAATAGGTACAGAACTTAGATGCTGAAAACTACAAAATTTATTTAAATCAAAGATCTAAATAAATGGAGACACGCACTGTGTTTGTGAATTGGAAGATTCAGTATAGTAAAGAGGTCAATTCTCCCCAAATTGGTATGCAAGTTTAAAGCAATTTCCATCAAAAATCCAGCAAGAGTTTTTGTAGATATTGACAAGAATGGTCTAAAATTTATATGGAGGGGTGCCTGGGTGGCTCAGTTGGTTAAGGGTCTGCCTTTGGCTCGGGTCATGATCTCAGGGTCCTGGGATCGAGCCCCATATCTGGCTCCCTGCTCAGTGGGGAGTCTGCTTCTCCCTCTGCTTCTCCCCCTTGCTCTCTCTCTCTCTCTCAAATAAATAAATAAAATCTTAAAAAAAATAAAATTTATATGGAAATACAAAAGATCTAGAATGACTAAAGCGACTTTGAAAAGGAAGAATAAAATGGGAGGAATCACTCTAGCCAACTGCAAGACATTATAAAGCTACAGTAGTCAAGACTATGTGGTAGTGGCAGAGGGATAGACACATAGATCAATGGAACAAAAGAAAATCTAGCCACAGGTGTGCGGCCAACATGGAGGAGGTCAGCTGAGTGCGGGCAGTGGCCGGCCCTTCGTTCCGGCCCCTCCCCGCGCCGCCCGGGGCCCAGGGGCCGGCCGGGGCGACTTGGCCGTTCTTGGCCTCCTCTGCCTGCCAGCGACCCCAGGAGCGGCTGTCCCTGATGGGGCTGCGTTCATGCTCCCGCTCCCGGCCTGAGCCTTCATTGTGCGAAATGAGCCGCCAGACTGCAACAGCGTTACCTACTGGAACCTCGAAGTGCACGCCGTCCCAGAGGGTGCCCGCACTGACTGGCACAACTGCATCCAACAATGACTTGGCGAGTCTTTTTGAGTGTCCGGTCTGCATTGACTATGTGTTACCGCCCATTCTTCAGTGTCAGAGTGGCCATCTTGTTTGTAGCAACTGTCGCCCGAAGCCCACATGTTGTCCGACTTGCCGGGGCCCTCTGGGATCCATTCGCAACCTGGCTATGGAGAAAGTGGCCAATTCCGTACTCTTCCCTTGTAAATATGCCTCTTCTGGATGTGAAATAACTTTGCCACATACAGAAAAAGCAGACCACGAAGAGCTCTGTGAGTTTAGGCCTTATTCGTGTCCGTGCCCTGGTGCTTCCTGTAAATGGCAAGGCTCTCTGGATGCCGTCATGCCCCATCTGATGCATCAGCATAAGTCCATTACGACCCTACAGGGAGAGGATATAGTTTTCCTTGCTACAGACATTAATCTTCCTGGTGCTGTTGACTGGGTGATGATGCAAGTCCTGTTTTGGCTTTCACTTCATGTTAGTCTTGGAGAAAGAGGAAAAGTACAATGGTCACCAGCAGTTCTTTGCAATTGTCCAGCTGAGAGGAACACGCAAGCAAGCTGAAAATTTTGCTTATCTACTTGAGCTAAATGGTCATAGGCGGCGATTGACTTGGGAAGCGACTCCACGCTCTATTCATGAGAGAATTGCCACAGCCATTATGAATAGTGACTGCCTAGTCTTTGACACCAGCATTGCACAGCTTTTTGCAGAAAATGGCAATTTAGGCATCAATGTAACTATTTCCATGTGTTGAAATGGCAATCAACATTTTCTGGCCAGTGTTTAAAACCATTGCATTCAGTTTCACAGAGAATAAGGCACCCATCTGCCTGTCAACCTGAAACTTTTGGTAGGTGGAAGCTAGACACATGAAGGTAAATAAAAGGAAAGGCTGTTAAATACAGGAAACAGTTGCATGTAGTAACACTAATATATTTAAAAATAAGTCAACAGTAAACCACTGAAAAAATATATATATACACCCAAGATGGGCATCTTTTGTATTAAGAAAGGAAGCATTCTAAAATAATTCTGAATTTGTGTTGTAGATTGTACTGTTGAAAAATACTGGTTTTTTGTTTTGTGTGTTTGCCGGCGAGTTGCTGTGTGTGTGCGCGCGCGCGTGTGTGTGTGGTTTGTTTTTTTTTTTTCCTTTAACCGACAAGCCATGTTGAGTGGTCTTGGACCACTGCTTTTCCCCTTTGTGAGTCAATACATAGTGCTGCTGTGTGTGTATATTTTTTGTGTGTATTTGCTAATTTTTATTAATTCTAGTTTTTCATTAAATAAATTTGACTTTCTTTTCTGTAAAAAAAAAAAGAAAAGAAAATCTAGCCACATACAAGTAGAGGGATCTCATGCACCCTTCACTCGGTTTTATCTGGGTGACAAACAACTCATATCTAGAATAGATAAAGAACTCTCAAAACTCAACAGTTTAAAAAAATGTATTTAAAAGGGGACAAAGACATGAAGGGACATTTCATCAAAGAGGATATATAGATGTCAAATAGGCACATGGAATGATGTTCAATCACTAGCCTTTCAGAAAATGCAAATTCAGACCATGATGAGATATCACTGCAAACCTATTAGACACCTAAAATAAAAGTAGTGAAATGCCAAATGCTGGCAAAGATGTAGAGAAACTGTATGTCTCACACATTGCTGATAAGAATATAAAATGGCACAGCCACTCTGGAAAACAGTTTGGAAGTTTCTTTAAAAAAAAAAAGGAAGATAAAACACAATTACCATGTAGTCCAGCAATGGCACTCCTGGACATTTACCCCAGAGAAATGGAAATTTACAGTCACACAAAAACCTGCGCACAAATGTTTATAGAAGTTTTACTAATAATAAACAAAAACAACCCAAATATCCTTCAAAGGTGACTGGTTAAACTGTGGTGCATTCATACCATGGAGTACTACTCAGTAATGAAAAGCAACAAATTATTGATACATACAACAACTTGGATGGACTCCAGAGCATTATGCTAAGTGAAAAAAGCCAATCTCAAGAGGTCTCATACTGTACGGAGCCATTTATATAACATTCTCAAAATGACAAAATTATGGAGAAACAGTAGTTAGTGGTTGCCAGGGGTTAGGGACAGAGATACAACTATAACTGTAGCAGGAGGGCGAGCTTTGTGGTGATGGAATAGTTCTGTATCTTGATTACAGTGGTGGTTACCCAAATCTACACATGTGATAAAATTACAGATCCATACACACATACATTGTACCAATGCCAGTTTCCTGGTTTTGTATTGTACTATAGTTATGTAAAATGTAACTACTGGAGGAAACTGGGTGAAGGGGGCACAAGATCTCTCTATGCTATCTTTGCAATTTTTTGTGAATCAAGAATTAATTCAAAATAAAAAGATTCTAAAAAAGGACAAAGCATAGAAACCAATGAACAAGCAATGTATATTCCATACAGTGGAATACTACTCAGTGATAAAATGAAATAAACCGGTATGCACAACAACATGTATGAATCTCAAAAACATCAGGCTGGATGAAATAAACTTTACGCAAAGAATATTTCTTGCTTGATTCTATATAAATGAGGTTCTAGAACAAGAAAAACTAATTTATGGTGAAAAAAAATCAGAACAGTGGTATTTGGGGGTGGAGATCCACTGGAAAGGGACATGAAAAAGCTTTCTAGAGTTATAATAATAATATTCTGTATCTTGATAAGGGTTTGGTTTACACAGGTGTATAAAGCAAGAATTCAATAAATGATACTGAGATAATCTGCGATTTTTATATAAAGATAAAAATAGATCCCAACACAAATATTAATTCTTGATGGATTAAATACCTAAATATCTTAAATTTTAGAAGATAATACAGAAGAATATATTTATAAATTTGGGGCAAGCAAGAAGTTCTAGATAATGACATAAAAAAGAGAAACAAGAAAGAAAAAACTTATGAAGTTTACAAAGTCACCATAAACACGGTGAAATATAAGCCACGGTTTGGTAGAAGTTATTTCCAGCACACATATCTAACAAAGGATTAGTATCCAGAATACAGTTGACCCTTGAACAACATGGGGGTTGGGGCACCAGCCCCCATACAGTTGAAGAGCTGCGTTTAACTTTGACTCCCCCAAACTTAACGACTCATAGCCTACTGCCTTCCTGATAAGCAGTCAATTAACACATTTTGTATGTTCTATGTATTATATACTGTACTCTCACAATAAAGTAAGCCAGAGAAAAAACAATGTTTTTAAGAAAATCATCAAGAAGAGAAAATACATTTACTGTACTGTACTGTATTTATGGGGGAAAAAACCCTGCATATAAATGGACCCACATAGTTCAAACCCATATTGTTCGAGGGATAACTGTATATATAAAGAACTCCTAAATCATCCAACCAGTCAAACAGAAAAGTGAGCAGAGGGCATAAATAGATCATTCAAAGAGGAAGAATCTGATATGGCTAACAAACAATATGAGAAGATTCTTCAAACAATAGTATTGAGGATGATAAAAGTTAAAAAGAAGGAGACAGCATTTCATCATACCCATCAGGTTGGAAAAAAGAAATGATGTCTGATAACATCAAGGTTTGTGAGGATGTAGGGGAAGGAGAACACAATCTTGGGCTGCCAGTTAAAACAAGATGTTCATACCTCATGACCTGACAATTCTCCTTCCAGATGTCTACCCTAGAGAAACTCAGGTACACAAAAAGACAGAAATGAGAATGTTCTTTGCAGCAGTGCTTGAAGTAGCAAGAAATGAAAACCATCTGTTAGCAGCATTTGATGCCATCCATCATTCCCTCTTTCTAGAAATGTCTCTCATTTGACTTCCCAGTGGCCCATCTCTTGGCTTTCCTATTTTCTCACTAGCTTCTCCTTTTCATTGCTGGATCCTCCTCTTCCTGACCTCTACAGTTTGGAGTGTCCTAAGGGTTATTCTACACCTGTCCCCTAGTTGATCTTATGGATAATTTTGGCTTCTTAAAAAAGATTTATTTATTTATTTATTTGAGGGGGGGCAGGGGCAAGAGGGAGAGAGAGACTTAAGCGGACGCTGCACTGAGCAGGGAGCCTGATGCGGGGCTCAAACTCACGACCCCAAGATTGGGACCTGAGCCAAAACCAAGAATTGGATGCTTAACCGACTGAGCCACCCAGGCGCCTCGAGAACTTTGGCTTTTAACCACAATCCCCAATCACCAGTCTGGACCTCTCCCCTGACTCTGACTTGGATATTTCACTGCCAATACGACCTCACCAATTGGCTATCAGACTGACAGTGCAACACATTAACATATCTAGAACCAAAGTCATAATTTCCCTTCAACCTCCAATCCTCCCCCGGGCTTTCCCATCTTAGTAAATGACATCCCCATTCACCCAGCTGCTCAGGATAAAACCTTGGGGTCCAACTTGAGTCCTCTCTGTTGCACACATCCTTGATATCTTTCTTTCCTTCACATCCCCCATTGAGTCCTGATCCAAACCATAATTGCCTCTTATCTGGACTGCTGTGACTACTTCTTCCTGTCCCCTAATTTCTCCTCTAGCTCTCCTACAGTCTGCCTTCCCCTGGCAAGCAGGGTGAGCTCAGAAACATGTGCGCTCTCTGTGGCCAGAGAGGGCCTATGACTTCCCACATCTGGTACAAAATCCAAACTCCACTGACCACTGTTAACTCTCTGACTTCAGCTCCTATGCAATCCCCCATCCGGGGTCACCGTGTTCCAGCCACACTGGCTTTCTTGCCATTCCTTGAATACACTAAGATTTTTCCTACCTTAGGGACTTTGCATTTGATGTTCCATCTGCCATGGATATGGGTCATTGACTCCATAGTACCCTGCTGGATGATGTGGAAGAATTCCCATAAGCTTCTACAGACTGTGAGATCTCAATAGAGAAAGGGTTTAGAGTGACAAGAGCCCTCTATAATGTTCTGAATCTTGCATCTAGAACACTCATCTTTGACTTAAAGTGTCCTTCGGCAGATGCATGTCCTAGAGAACCCATGGTAAGGGCAGGGAATGAATCCAAAGTCAAGATCAAACCACAGGCATGGCCTCTGTACAGGGGATGGAAATTCACACAGCACAGCATTAAAGAAGTTTTTCTTTCATTTTTTTTCAAATTTTTATTTAAATTCCAGTTAGTTAACATACAGTGTAATATTAGTTTCAGGCGTAGAATTTAGTGATTCATCACTTCCGTACAACACCCAGTGCTCATCACAAGTGCCCTCCTTAATACCCATCACCCAATCTAGACCTTTCCCCCATCCTCCCCTCCAGTATCCCTCAGTTTGTTCTCTATAGTTAAGAGTCTGTTTTCTGGTTTGCCTCTCATTTTTCCACCCTATGTTCATCTGTTTTGTTTCTTAAATTCCACATATAAGTGAAATCATATGGTATTTGTCTTTACTTTCGCTTAGCATAATACACTGTAACTCCATCCATGTCCTTGTAAATGGCAAGATTCATTCTTTTTCATGGCTGAGTAATATTCCATTGTATGTATATACCAAGTCTTCTTTATCCATTCATCAGCTGATGGACATTTGGGCTCTTTCCATAATTTAACTATTGTTGATAATGCTCCTATAAATATCGGGGTGCATATTCAAATCTGTATTTTTGTATCCTTTGTGTAAATACCTAGTAGTACAATAGCTGCATAATAGGGTAGTTCTATTTTTAACTTTTTGAGGAACCTCCATACTGTTTTCCCTAGTGGCTGCACCAGTTTGCATTCCCACCAATAGTGTAAGAGTGTTCCCCTTTCTCTGCATACTCACCAACACCTGTTGTTTCCTGTGTTGTTAATTTTAGTCATTCTGACAGCTGTGAGGTGATATCTCATTGTAGTTTTGATTTCTATTTCCCTGATGATCAGTGATGTTGAGCATCTTTTCATGTGTCTGTTGGCCATCTGGATGTCTTCTTCAGAAAAATGTCTATTCATGTCTTCTGCCCATTTTTAATTGGATTATTCATTTTTTGGGTGTTGAGTTTTATAAGTCCTTTATATATTTTAGATACTAACCCTTTATCAGATATGTCATTTGCAAATATCTTCTCCCATTCTGTAGGTTGCCTTTTAGTTTTGTTGATTGTTTCCTTTCCTGTGCAGAAGGCTTTTATCTTGATGACATCCCAATAGTTCATTTCTGCTTTCGTTTCCCTTGCCTCCAGAGACGTGTCTAGTAAGAAGTTGCGTTGGCCGATGTCAAGGAGGTTACTGCCTGTGTTCTCCTCTAGGATTTTGATGGATTCCTGTCTCACATTTGGGTCTTTCAT